CATATCAAAACAGACAATTATACAAAACAAAACCCGTAGGTACGAAAGCATCTATCGCAAGGCAACGCTGCGCACTCACTCGCTCACTGAAGACACGCCGAGATACAGATACGGATACAGATACAGATACAGATTGATCGATCATGAGAATGAATCTGAGCAGCCAGGCACACAGCTGAAATAATTATGAAATGTCAAACCTGTGTTCGCGCTCGATTACGCCACTTGACATGGCCAATTAATCTCTGCTTAATTGGTTTGTGCCACAACAAAATGAGATACAGATACAGCTACAGCTACAGCTACAGATACAGATGCAGCGCAGATACACGACATCTGATACATCTGATATTGATGTGCATTCGCTTCTGATTTCGCCCCGTTTTTGCTGCATTATATACCCGATGTGGTGATGGTTCCTCGAAATTTGTCATATTTACCGACGGACAAGTGATCGATCTGGCAAAATCGGGTGGATGCCGGCGATTCTGCTCCTTTTGGTTTCTACTGGCATCCTGGCTTGTAGACATTTTATCAGATTCTTTAATTGCGTAAAACATTTTTGGATTCTTCACGTACGAAATTCCGAAACACCGAAGCTTGTTAAAATTCTTCTATCACTGAGCAGGCATTTTTTCTACATATACATTCGTGAGTATCTGTGTGTGTTCGCAGAGCGAGAGCGAGAGAGGGAGACAGCACAAGATACAAAAAAAGAGAGGGACGGCAAGCGGCATGTGGAACGTACGAAACGCCAATTAAGAAATTGACAAATTAAAGCTGAATGCTTTTTATAATCAAAACAGACAAAGCAAATAAGCTCGGCCAGGCGGCCAACAACTTGTTCGAGGTTGCTTGAAAAATGTATGAATTTTTATGGTCTTTATTGCCCGGCCACGGGCACAAGCACAAGTCGCAGCCAACTGGTTGTTTAATATTTAATTTGTGGCACATACACCCAGCACTTTGCATATTTTCATTCGCCTCGCACTGGCCCGATAAAAAATTTAAGTCAATACATATGTGCAGTCCAAGAAAAAAGTCGAGAAAAACTTTCTATTTGCGCTGATGTCGCAGATGGCACGTATTTTATTTTACTTTTTATTTCGGTAGCCAATCGGCAGCGGCAAATTAACGCAACGGCTTGTTACAGACGCGTTTTACAATCTCGGCGCATTTTTTGCCCCCATGCAGGTTGCAGGTTGCACGTTGCACGTTGCACGTTGCAGGTTGCAGCAATCAATCGATCAACCGATCAAGCGATCAAACGAGCGAAAGCTACCGATGCGGCCATGTCAAAGTCCTTTAAAACAGCAGGAAGGCCCAAAGGAAGCTGGAAAAAAGGCTGAGAGTAGGCCCAATACCAATACCAATACCAATACCAATGCTATTACCAATACCAATCGATGGCCAACGATGGCTGCTGGCTGCATTCCGAAATGACAAAACAGTTAAAAAATAATTAATTGCGTTGCCTTAAATGGCCTAAAGCGGTTTGGCTTTTTCCTCCTCCTGTTGCAGCTTTTTGCTGCTCGCTTGTTTGCAAGCTGCAACAGCAAGGGAGCTGCACTGAGCAAAACAGACACTTATAATATTAAAAAATTGTATTTACAACAAATATACAAATACAAGTAATGGCAATTTGTTAACCAAACAAATGCAATAAAGGCTGATTGTATATAACTATGGAATACTTGATTTGATAGCGAATTAGGCGGAGTATTTGGCGCAGTGCACTCGCAACTACAACAAGATCAACAAGTGCACATGTTGCTGCCGCTCTGCGTTGGCCGCTCATTGCCCATTTTGGCCATTGTTTTTATTGCCCGCCTGGAGCGGCCATCGGGCAGCCACTTTAGGGCTTATTAATGATGGATTCTCCTCCTCAATTCCTTGGCGACTCCTGTTTTATTGCGCAATGCAGCCGGGCAGCGGATCCGTACACTGTCCCCCTCGAAAATGAGCCCGAAGTTGGGCTTGGGCTTGGGTTTGGGTTTGGTTTTTGCGAACTGGCAAAAACAAAGGACCTGGCCGAATGTATGTCAACGTTATTGTCCGCATGACAAATGGACAATTGGCGGGGAAAGAAACTGAAATTCTCTGGTGAGAGCTGCGTACTAAACGTTTTGGCAGCTTGGCGACTAATTTGGGCCAACACACCGATGAAGAAGATGATGATGATGGCGATGGCCAAGAAGATCATTACGTTGAAGAAATATCGTTAAAACTGCCATGGAGAAGATCATCATAATTCCCTCAAGCTTCAGTAATTGAAATAGGTTCATAGGAAACGTTTTGAGATAACTAACAATATAGAATGCTATAGTCGAGTTCCCCGACTATCAGATATCATGCAATTTGTGGACATTACAGTGGGCGAGGCAACATCTCAACATTTTAGGTTTTGTAGTTCCTGAGAACTACATAGTCGAGGCGACTATACGGACAGACGGACATGACCAGATCGACTTGGCTATTGATCCTGATCAAGAATATATATACTTTATATGGTCGGAACCGCTTCCTTCTGCCGTTTACATATTTTCAACGAATCTAGTTTACCCTTTTACTATACGATTAACGGGTATAAAAATTAAGTTTGATTTCATATACACCCCACTTATAATATAAATCAAGATTCCTATCGCCGACAAACACCGACAAACTGAGTGCAACAAATAACAAATTTTCACTTTTATTTAACAAATGATCGCTGGAAGAGCCCGACAAGCCCGAAAAACTAATATCAAGATCCCATCGCTATGGCTTTGTAAACTATCCATAACGGCTTAGCGCGCTGACGACTACCCATAACTTTGGGCCAAGATTGGCGGCCAGCAGAGAGTCAGGGCCGAGATATTTATGTAAGCCACAGTGGACACACAGAGAAGCACGGACAACGCCCTGGCGAAGATTACGGATCTGTAGTCAATGCACTGGCGATAAATTTCAATCAAATCCGATCGAAAACAAGGCACAAAAACATCGCCCCACTCAGAAGATCTTCGGCGTTCGTTGCATAATTAGGAAACGTCTAAATTTCGTTTTGTATTTCGAAGAACACTAAATTAGATTTACGAGGCCCGATCAAAGCAGCCAAACGCACGGAACGCAATTAAAATCAGCTTAATAACGCTGCCCAGAAGAATCTGAGTTCGGATTCAGCTCTGGACTCGCGTTCCCAAGGTGTGATAATAATTTTATGAAAGAGCCCAACGAGGCAACAAATCAATTCCGCATAATGCCAATAACCAATAAAAAAGATTTCAAGAAGGCATTTACATTCATGAACATAAATCTCCGCCAGCTCACAATGCTCAAATAAAATGGGAAAGAACTTAAGCAGACACATCCAACAATTTCATTATGAGGCCATGAATGAATGAGTGCCACACTGGGGCACTGAATGAACGAATGAATGAATGAGCACTGGATGCTACGTTCTGGATCTATTGTTGCTCCCATTTTGGCGGCGAGTCCGTCTCTTTTTACGTTCTGGACACTTTCTGGAGGACCTCACAATCGGATGGCGAGCATTACGGGCGATTAGGTGTTAAACACACACAATTCGTTGGGCATTTCTGCCCGATCTGCGTCCGACGTAATTTATTGCCCGTGGCACATTGCCGAACCCACTTCTTTTTGGCCAGAAAGGGGCTGCAATCGCTGGCGAGCTGCGGATCTGCGGATCTGCGGATCTGCAGGTAGGAGCCACCTCGGTGGTCGTGGTTACCAGCTTTTCACTCAAGTGCAAATCCTGAGCATGCGCCGCTGGACACTCCACTGAAAATGCCCAGCGGAAAGTCGCCGAAAGTGCACTGAAAAAAATCCCAAAAAATGCAACACTATGAAAATAAATGATGTAAGCAACTGAGTTGCTTGGTTCCTTCAACTTTCCTTTGCAATTTAAGGCACAACAACATTTTGGCTGTGCACTTGCGAAGCTTTTTCGTTGGCGCCTCGGCGCCGCAATTAAGCAGAAATTGGTAAAATAAAAAAGAGCAAAATTAAGGTTAATGTGGGCCGGGGTCTGCTAATTAAGATATGGTTGCCTGGCAGCGAACGGTCCACTGGTTTCGATTCTGCAGAGCCCCTGATGCCTCTGGAGCCCCTGGAGCCCCTGGATTCTCCCTGCACCTTTCGACAAGTCATTGAGCTGTTAAATTTATTTAATGCCCGCACAATGGAGGCAAACAAGTTGCCAGTGGCTTTGTTATTAATTTTTATTGCTGTGCGATTGAGACAAGTTAATTTCTCCGCGCAGCCATTCTTATTCGCAGGAATTGTCCGAGTCACGAACGGATTCCCAGGATCCCGAGGATCCCCGAGGATCAGCGGGCTGCCTGCTGGGCCTTTGTCCCGATTTCCAGAGTGTGCAGGTCCTTTTCCCGCTGCTCAATGAATGAGGAGGTGCTCATTCACTCAAGTCCTTCACTCTCGAGAGTTTCCATTCAGGCTGAGAGTCGGCCAGTTTTGTGGGTGTGTCGCACATGGATTACACTAATGCGATAGTTGTCCCACAATTTAATGCACTCACCGCACTCGAACGGGGATTTAATGATGTTCCCACCAAGTTCAAGTGCTCGGAGTCGCCAGATTCGCAAAGGGGATTTTCGGGTTGGCTCAAAAAAATGGGAAACAACGAAATCCTTTCATATGCCTCAAGAACCCTTCATATTTCATCGCTTCGCCGCCACTTGAGAGACAGTGCCGCCAGAAGTGTTTATTGTCTCTGCACATTGTCTGCAGGACTCGCTTCAAGAGGTCCTTTTTGGGAACGTGAAACCGATCCTGGCAGTGCACCAAGTGCAGGTGAGCACGAGCCCTATTCCGCTGACTAAGCAGGATCTTCTGCAGCTGCTGGAACTGATGCGCTTAACTCTTTGACTTCGTTTTGGGCAAGGCAGATCGGATTAGGCGGGTATCGATTTTAGGCCTGGTCAAGGAGCACAAACTCTACTTATGGGTTGCACCGCCCTAGAGATACATTGCATCAAAGATTCCCACTAGATACAAAGTCATTTATTTACTGAACTTAAGAGGTCAGGAGCACCTCACTTCCTGTACCACATCTGCAGAGTCCGCATGCGCTTGACCTTCTTCTGCAGCTGCAGGATTCCGTACATCAAGGCCTCGGCGGTGGGCGGACAGCCGGGCACGTAGATATCCACGGGCACAATGCGATCGCAGCCGCGAACCACCGAGTAGGAGTAGTGGTAGTAGCCGCCACCATTGGCGCAACTGCCCATGGAAATGACCCATCTGGGCTCCGGCATCTGGTCGTACACCTTCCGGAAGGCCGGTGCCATCTTGTTGGTCAGAGTTCCGGCCACGATGATCACGTCCGCCTGGCGCGGAGACGCCCGGAACACCACTCCGTAGCGATCCATGTCGTATCGAGGGGCCGCGATGTGCATCATTTCCACGGCGCAGCAGGCGAGGCCAAAGGTCATCGGCCACAGCGATCCCTTGCGACCCCAGTTCAGTAGGTCATCCAGCCGGGCACAGCTCCACTCGCCCCAGGTCTTCTGGTCCCGTCCGAAGGCCGAGTAGCCCCACTTGGGCGGATTCTTGCAACGGTAATCGTACACCGGCATGGTCTTCTGGCCACGAAGCAGCTGGGACGGCATCACTCCGCTGCGGGGGAGCAGCAGCTTGCCAGGATTCCTGGCCCATATCAGGAAGCCTATCATCCTGCTGAGACTTAATTTATTTTTCGTTGCGGCAGTGAATGAAGAGATGTGAAAACTTAGTACTTTCCGAAATTGCCAGCGTTAGCAAACGTCTGACAAGTTTTTCTGGGACTGAATCTAACACCTTTGCTCTGATCCCTTCTACCATATGTATAAGTAGCTTAAGTGAGCTCTTGAAAATCCCATTTGGAGCCCCCTAACGCCACCGATTGGCGTCAAAGTCAATCCGAAATCCCAGGCACTTAACGCTGGGCGGACAGCGAACAGGAATCCATGGGCTCATAAATACGCATGAGCATGGAGCCCCATTCATGCCCCATGGAAGCTGGAGCCCAGATCGCTTAGGAGGAAATTATTAGCTGATTGCAGCAGCGCCATCCCCGGCCACTTCCCCCGCTGCACTGGGGCATTGATGGGTCCCGAGGAGCTGGGGACATGCAACTCGGGAGGTGGGAATGGGAATGGGAATGGGAATGGGCACTGGGAGCAGATGCATCCGCGGAGAACTTACGCAATCGATGCGCGGGCTCATTACGGAATCGACACTGGGGAGCTGCACTTGTAAAAATAGTAACTATTGGCAAAGGAATATATCCCAAATCTTGTTGAGGTGATGTCTGTAAAATCAAGTTTCACCATTTAAATGGAAGTATCTTAATATATTCCGTTCATATACCATTCAATACAGATTGAATGCAGTAAAATCTCTTATAGCCCCTAGTTTTTTAGCACCTAACTTGTTCCCAATGAATAGGGATTCTGGAGTTTAATGGCTGCCGCAAATATATCTCCAAGTGTGAGATTGGAGTCGTGGCGCTGGCGCAGCTGGCAGTCGATAGTTGGTGGAAAAATGGCAACTGGCACTGTGTCTTTTGCGGTTTTTAATTAACGCTTTTGCACAATGCTTGTCTAATTACGCCTATGGTGCCTCAGACACGACAACAAAACGGCAGCGACTACTAAATCATCCATATTGTCAAGCAGCTGCGGTTTCTGCTGCTCCTCTGCTGCTCCTCTCCTGCGAATCCTGCCATCCTTCAGGATGGGCAATAGAAAAAAATGAAATGAAAATAAATACGGGGGACATGGACGACGATCATCGCATGGCAATTAGGCATTGGCTGCATTTGATGCATCATTAATTGAATTTCATTTGCATTTAAATGCGCACCTATGAATGGAGCAGGCCAGCGGACTGGCCATTTTCCCAGCCAGAAAAGCAGAAGACCCGAAGACCAAAGGACCAGCAGTTCAGCCAGGTCGTCTCCGTCGACAATGAGCCGCTGATGAAGTCATATGAGCCCGGCTCGAACGCATTGGCCAACTGCAGCGAAACTGCGCTGCGTAGCCGACGAAAAGGCCAATTTAAAATGGCTAAAATAAATTGGATTCGTTCGGCTTTGTTCGCTGCTCCGTTGGCTGGCCAACGCAAAATAGACTATCATCAATTTAAAATCAATATGTCACATAAATTGGAAGGGAAATCAACGCCAAAAGCCGCCAACGATATTGGCCAAGGAAAATGTACAAAAAAAGGGGGAAAGATGCGAAAAAAGGAAGTGTGGTGGAAACGAAAGAAAAGGCGGCAAATGGCGAATACTCTGCGATTTTCCCTGTGGGCAGAGTAATAATACAGAGTATGTAACATAAAATAAAATAACCTTAAGCTGCATTTAATAAATTTTATACTGAATAAATGGTAAACTAGCGCTACTTCGGTATATCCTGCTCCTCGAAAGGGTATGCTCGAGGTGGACAAAGGATGCAGTGGCAACTGGCGAGTCCACTGCGATTACTTTGCTATAATTCCTCGTCATCGCTGCTGCAACTGCAACTGCAACTGCATCTGCTGCAATTGCTGCTGCCCGGTGACATCGTCGCTGGGGTTTTATTGGCCACTTTTGGCCACATCAGCGACAACGATGAGACAGCCGAGTGCGCTTCCTGTCTCCTGGCCCACAGCACATAGCCATGGCACATATCCCCTCCAACTTGTATATATCTATCTTTATGTATATGCTGCATTTACCGTGTGTGCCGGACAACTTGCCATTATTATGCGCATGTTGCATTGCATTCTTGCTGCTGCCGCTGTTGTTGCCGGATTTGTCAGCGATCCTCAAAGTGATAAAAATTGCTCGTAAATCCTTAACGAGTGGAACTAACACGCGCTGACTGGCTTGCTAGCCCCAACTGGAGTCCAGCTGAAGCTCGGGAGCAACTCCCCCGCATCCGCACACCACATTTGTCTTTTTAGCGAACTCCCAAAACAACAACATGCCGAGTGGAACAATGGCGATCCGCAGACCGAAATGGACGCGCTCATCTCTTGATCTGCATTGTTAGTGGCCGGCAGGAGCAACGTGGCCAGTACACTGAAAAAAACGTAATCAATCAATGACCAAGACTCATAGCCTTCCGGAGCTACCAATAACCTTTAGGTCGATGATAGCCAGTTTTAAGTTTTATAGTTGAAAATCACATTCTTCTTTGACTTTCTTCCAGTGCAGTGGCATCTGCAGCATTCCATTTCCACTGCGACTTTGGGATCTCCTTGCATTCAAGGCAACTCACACCAATGCACGGCTTTGGGCCAGTTTATGCATCACCAGGCCCCAAATTGACTCCATTAAATTCCAATTGTGCCAATGTTTCCTAAAAATGTGGCAGCAGAGTTCAAAACATATACCAAGTGCCTCTGCAACAATGCAGTGCCACTCTTACCCATGCAGCACACAAGAAGTGGACGCATTCTCGCTGTGTATTCAGCCATTTTAATTTCTTTATTATGGCGTTCTCCTGTTATCAAGTGCCCCAACTTGCTGCAGCCATTTGTAGCCCCGATAAGCCGCAATTAAGCCTTTATGTCCGCCGATTAACGCTAATTTAAGAGCCCCACACAAGAAGCCAACTCAGAGTTACAGGTTAACGCTAACAAATCAGATCGAGACCATATGGCTTAGCCAGCCAACCAATTAAAGATGCAAAAGACAAAGAGCCCAGTTGGGGGCCCAGCTGACAATAAAACCAACAAATTTTCGTATTTAACGATCGCCAAATTAACATACATTTACACATGCCATCCACGTGAAGCGGCACAAACGAGTTTCCAGCTTTCCGAGTCCGAGTGGCGACCACCCAAATGGGGCTGTGGTAGCTACAAATAGTAGCTGGCACCAGGGAAAATTTCAGACAGCAAAAGATACGATTTTGGGAGATTTTTAAGCACGAAATACTCTGCATTTAAACTTATTCAGACCTAAGATTCCTTCAAGACACAGAACTGCTGGAAATACTCACAAGAGTGCTGAACACTCTTTCTAATATGTCTAATATATATCATATACTCTATATATCCCACATATTGTGTATCATATATCTCATGGATATTACATCTTTCAGCTACAAAGCAGCTGAAGTGCCACCACCAGCAAGGAAGGAGCTTGGAGCAGCTGAAGGGAGCGCCATTAGCTCCTCTCGCCTTCACAAGTAGGTGTTGACAGTTGGGTATTATAATAACTACTTTACAGTGGAGCTCCGTAATTAATTGCCAGCGATTAACGGCAGTGTTAGTTAAGCGCTTGACAAACGCCGCGAAACGAAAGCTCCATCGCCGCCTTTTCGCTCGAGTTGAGATGAGTTCGAGCATGGCAGCTCCGCCCCTTTGTTTTGGCCTCTGGGGGCGTGGCGGCCGCCTGCTGTTTCCAGCCAAGTGTGCTGCCTAATTTGCGAATAATTCGATCGAGGGCCACAGTGGCCGCTGGCTAAGTGGGAAAGCGGCAAACTATTCACCATTGGTGGCTATCGAAAAACCTGTTTCTGGTGGATCTATGTGATGCAGTGTTATTGGCAAATGTTTATTAGTAATTTATCAGCTTTTTACTTTCACCGAGTGGTACCGCTCCCCCCTAAAAAATGGCCATCGCAGTCGGCTCCTTTGAAGCGCTTGTTGTGGTTACACAAAATCCTTTTAGACACATGATGTCGCATTCAGATCACTTATCCCGAACATTTGTATTTGCCCTCGTTTTCCCTCTGTTTGCCCCTGGCTGCAACTACGAGTGTTTTCCTTTCGACCGCACTTTCACTTTCCCCCGCCGCCGGATAATTAATGTGCCGCGCGACCCGAGTTTCCGAGTCCCCCTAAGTAGGGTGCTCTACAGCCCAAGTCCCCTCCCAGAACATAATTACGATGTTTCATTAACAGCATTAGCAGCGACGATATTTCACCCGATTCCCGAGCAGGATCCCCGCGCATCCCGGAGTGAAGTGGAGGTGTCCCCTCGTTTGCTGCCCGCCACTCGGCGTCTTGATTTATCGACACTAGGCCAGGATGCTTGGGATGCCCTCTGCCGTGGGTGGCAGCTAGGGATGTGTCTTCAGTTCGTGGATCGTACATACAGATATATATCCCAACCTCAAGATGCAAAGGCTTGAAAAGCTGTTCATGTTTTGTGATCTTATAATAAGATTATAGTAATCATATCACCACATATCATCATTATAATAATTTACTATGATATGATATACTACGCTATATCATGTTGCATATATGGCTTCTGGAACTCACGCACCCATCGCTAGTGGGCCGGATTCCGGCGTTATGGATTATTAATGCAATGGGTTGCGAGCGGGCAGATGAGGCGGCATTGATCACTCTCTCACCCGCTCCGAAGTGTTTTTCCCGCTCGTTTCCCTTGTTTTCCCCCTGAGATTTTCCCCCACACACTGCGCTTTTCTGGGGGGCGTGGAACGCCTAATGCAATCTCAAGTATGTGCGACACGCTGGCTGGGGCGACTGCAACATGTGGCAAATGGTGGGGCAAGCGTCTAAGAAGATGCAGCGGCCGCCGAATTTATGGGATGCGGCATAATGGCATAATGGCATGTTGCCATTGGCCTGCTGCTCGCACGCATTTAAATGCCTCATAAAAGTTACACTTGAAAATTAATGAGCTGCGTTTTCGGCATTCGGAGGCGCACAAAACAAAGTGACAACACGGGAATTGAGTTGTTCAAGGATCTCGCGGATGCGATGCGATTCGATTCGAGTGGAGCTGCAACTGCACCTCGATTTTCCCGAT